ATTTTTACACGTCACTTGCGGTTTAGGGTACATAAAGTTGACACGGAGGGCCTTAAAATAGTCCTAACATTTTCTGAATCGATCTTGTCTACCACGTGTTCCATGGAGTCAATTCAGTCAATTTTTACACATCACTTCCTGTGTAGAGTGCATTAAATTGACACGGGAAGACTTAAAATAGTCCTAACAATTTCTGAATCGATGTAAGCTTGGTAGCCAGTCTCTCTCGTTCCACCATGTCTTCCATGTGCTCAATTCCTTCAATTTTTGAGCTAATTTCATGTAATTTAGTGCACAGATGTGTTGCCACCAGACCTATTGAAAATGGATTGAATTGGTCCACTTGCGCAACTAGCATACATATGATGGCTTTTTTGTATTCTACAATATTGTAAAAGGTTATACAAAATGATGGAAAATAATCTGATTAATATATATATTGTATAGAGTTATCTACCATAAATGCCTTTTTCAAATGAAAAAGTGATCAACATTTAGCGAATTGAAATCTCAAGTGCGGTAGAGTTTTTAATAAAAGCCGATAGCCTTAGATGCTAGTGCTTTTAAGAGTTTAGTCTTAGAATTTATTTCTGTGGCGAAATTAATAATAATAATAATAATAATAATAGAATATATCTGTGATGACAAGTCAAGATATTTCATTCCTAAAAAGAGGAAAGTTATATGCAATACTAAGCAACTCTACTTTAAAAATTTCCAAATAATCGAAAAACCTGACTTTAGTTTAGTGATTTTAAAATTGTTGACTGTGATAGATAGATAAATGATTATAAAAACTTTTTGCTTTTATTAAAAAAAAACAAATTTTTTTCTTGTTAACTTTTTTTTATAAATTTCAATTTTATATTATGGCGGATATACAGCAAGTTACTGACGAAATTCGCGATACATTTTGTCATTATAAGGAAAAGCAAAAATTGGAGCTTTTAAATACATTAAACGATGTTCGATCCTGTGAGTGCAATCACAAATTTCGCATAAACTCAATTGATAGCCGAACGAAGTCATTTAAACATTTGGCTAGATTTTATCAAATCATTTTGGGAATGTTGATCATACTGCTTATGTTCGCAATATACTTTGTATGGTTGGCGCGTTATTACAATAGATCTCACACTTATGGAGGAGGAGGAGATTGTATGAGCTCTTTCTCTTGGCCTATGAGTAATTGTCCGGTTGCATTTTAAAAGCCTTTGCTGAAAAGATCATAAGAAAACTTTAAAAGGATTGTCGTTTATTGATAATTAATTAACAAAAACAAATTAATTTAGTTGAAAAAAATTATCGTTTATCAATAATAATAATAATATGTGGCGGATCGTCACACGTGTATAATTGAACTTTTATCCGCATCTTTTCAAATCGTGCATCTCTTCAATTTCGCGCATTTTCAAACAAAAAAAAATTGGTAATCGTGCGTCTGTAGTGATCAGAATCGGCAGAGAGTTGTGTCGCACTTTCGTCATTGTAAAAATCTTACGGGCTTATCACACCTTCAAACCAAATGCCATACCGTACAATGACCCCTTACATCAGCTCAAATTCAGACCTTCTACGACACTTTCACGGACAGCACTAATATTTTCGGTCGTGCAGTTGGTTCGATGGTGATGCCGAATTCTGTTGTGGGCCCAGTTCCTTTAAATTGCCTCACAATCTTCTCGATATGAAATGGGCGAATATGTCGACCATAATCTGCTTGTAAGGCGTGGAACGTACTCTACGATAAAATCAGAATTTTTATAGTAAATCTATTATTTTAACATGTCCAGTGGTTGCCAAATTTAAACCACGAAATGGATAACCCTATATTAAAGCTATGAAAGCATCGGAATATGAAATGATGTTCCACCTATTTTATAGGTTAGGTTAAAAAATATAATTTTAACTGAAATGGGTGAACAAAAGATCCAATGCCCGCTATATACGGAAAATTAAGGAGACAGGAAATATAAATTTGCAATAAAAAAATTATTTTAATTTGGAACCATTGAAGCCGTTTTAAAACCGAAAGAGGGCGAAAGGATAAATTGTGAAAACTTTCGCTTTATTTTTTATACCCTACACTACTTGTGGTACAAAGGCATAGTAAGTTTGTGTGGATTTATACAACATCCATCTTTTTGCAATAATCGAAGCTTGTCCATCCGTCTGTCTGTCTTACATTCTAGTGTTCAACCTACAGATCAGGGTTTTTGAGAAGCTTTGATGAAATTTGCTACAACCCGGCAGATTTTGGCTCAATGACGAACGATATTGAAAATAGTTCGGATCGGACGAGTTTATCGACCGCTTCTCATATAACGCCTTATGGTGTTGTTAATTTGTTGTTAATCAAATTTTTTTTTTTATTTTTAGTACGAAACTGAAATTTTTACTTAACAAATTTAATAATTAATTTCCGGTCTGCACAATATTCTTCAAGCTTACCCACTTTTTTGACATTGTAAGAGTTACCATTAATCTTGAAACTGTTATTAATCTCCTTAGCCTTATTTGAAATGTCGTTATAGTATGACTTACCCTGAGCCCTGGCCCGTTGTAATGTTTTTACTTGTATTTTAATGTAAATTCATTTTACTTCTTAATCAATGCTAATATAATTCCATAAATTGCGCCTTTAGTATAACTAAACTGTTTTAATATGACGTTTTCGATGCGTCTTATCATAGCTATGCTCTATGCTTTTCGTAGGAAACTCTACTAAAATTGAATAATATCTCAAATTCACAGTTAAACCACTAAAATCTCATTAACATAACTTATTTTTATACGTATTTCGTTGAGGGCATATACACATATATATATATATATATATCTTTTATGTACATAGTCAATATGTTCAATGCTGCGTTCCTTTTACAATCATAATCCGTAATCATAACTCCCACTAACTACTTAAGAGATTATTTGCGGAAAAAAAAATTCAACCTAAAAACAGTACGCAATACGCAGTACGTGTATGCCCTTGCCTAAGTTTAGATACGTATATGCATCTGTATTTAAAATGATGATAGATGATGAATCGAAAAGAAACGGAAGCGAAGAAGAATTTAATAAGCGACAACGTTATTCGCCTTTTTTTGGTTGATGACAACGATTTTTTATAATTCATACACACATACACACACACACACACATATATATATATATATATACACTCATACATCTATTAACTGATAAAAGTATTAAAAGTATGCACTGATGTCATATATTATATTTGATATTTTGCAAAGGCATTTGCATGGGAAGGAAGCTGTGTGCAATTTTATCTCTTTTTGGAATGCAAAATGGCGAATTATTTTCACTTAAAATATTTGTCAACTTTTTTTGATAATTTTTGTTCAGCTCTGTACTCTTATGACGTCCAGGATGTAATCGTAAGACGCGACTGCCACCTTCTTTCACTCTATTTAAAGAAAAGTAATGAGCAATAGATTTCAAGTCTCTAATGCCATATATCAACAGCTGCTCGAATTGAAATCAAGAAAATGTCAGAATCATATCGATTTTTCTTGTTTTTTCTCTACACTCTTTTTCGATTATAGTCTTCCTTTAATAATGCTAGCGATGCTATGCCAGTAAAGGGGAATTGCCTTTAAAAACTAATTTCGAAATGGTTTTTTATTTTTATATTCGACCCATTTTTTCAGCTCTATTTTCTTTTAGTCTATTTTTTATTAACCATTACGCGCAATATTTTCTTTAACAATAAAAACTATTTCTACGTATTTTATATTCCAAGCTGTACATAGGACTTTCTATAGAACCTCTACATTCAATACTCCAAAAAACAATTTTAACCAATGCGACGTGCGCAGTGCATGGTTTGCCAATGTGAAGTTTTGAGTGCTTAGTACTAGTAATTGGTTGAAGGGATTTCCTAATGTCCCAGTGCAGCGGCTTCGTCTCTAAAAAAAGGAGACATAATGGCCTTTATTTTGAATTCTTCATAAAAAATCATTTTGTTGATCCTTTCTAATGCCTGTTACACGATCAAATAAGTATGAAACAAAATGGATGCTTGTACATGTACACTTGCAACCAACCAGATAACGATCCAGTCTAAATAGATGATGAATTAATATTTGCTGAACTAAAAAATGAATTTTATGCGGCCGTTTACCAACTAAATCATTAACGAATTGCTATCATCAAGGGCGCCTTCCTTTTTGTTGCTGTCCTCGCTCTAGCTTTAATCATTAAAACTTCAACTATATTAATGTGCAAGTTGTTGTTGAGTTCAGTCGGCTACCAAAGCAAAATGTTTACAAAATTTATTTTATATTTTTTGATCGAGACGAAATTATATATTATTTTAGCCTTTGAGGGACGATAAAATATTTTGAGTATGTATAAATTTACAAAGGAAACTTCAGAACGATCTGAAGATTAATTAACCTACCACATCCATCTCATCATAAATCATTATATTTTTGCGAAATGTCAACTTGATGTAAGTTAAAGCAATTTCGGTTTCATGCGGTTGCAGGCAGATCGTGCTCGTTTGCAAACTTGATCTCCACATTCGTCTATTGACCTGAACGTACAAACATAGGTAATTCAATAACTGTTACGTTACTAATAAGAAGATATTAACAGATTTTATGGGACATAACTTGAATGTATTGTTACAACTAAAATGTTCAACTTATTATACCACTTTCTCATCTAAGTGTTCAACTAGTTTATCCAAATTTTTTATATATAAAATTTTTGTAGCTTAGACTGAAGTTTACTGCCAGTGATAGTAGCTTTAAGTGATACTCAAATTTAAAACATTTGTTTATAGTTTTACTCAGTTCTCTTCATCCATTATTGCTATGATTGTTTTTTATTTCCATACGGTTTCTTCTGATCTATCATACTATCATTATAATGCATTAGCTTATTACGAATTTATCAAACAAATTTTCCTTTGTTTTTCTTTCTATTGGATTACGCAATCAGATAATTTGATTGTTTTTTTTTTGCTTTTCATCTTTTCACTAAAGTTTATTTAACATAAACATAAGCTTTCACAGGCAAAAAAATTAAAAAAAAAAAAAGAACTTTTACACTTAATCTAATTCATAGAAGGAATATAGAGACAATGTTACCAAAACAGTTTCATTTTTCCGGCTCCCGATGTCGTAGATGGCTTAGAATTATATAGGTTTTGCAGTTCTGCTAAAGCGGCCAAACCGCTCCGGAGTAAAGCATTGGTGCATATCTTATATGACCAGATGTCTTCAACTGTTTTCAATTCACTTTCGCAAAAACTCAAACCGTCACGAACGTTTTGCAAAATTTCGTAACCTTCTGACTTGGCTTCGGCGACCAGATCATCGTTTATAAAGTCCTCAATTATTTCAATGGTAACCTTTGAATATTCTAAGGCTTCTTCTATCGTTACATTTCCCGTATTCTGTGTAATATTATTTATCGTAATAAGTTTGTTTGTCGCTGTCCCGGTTAAGGCTACGCTTTGACCGTATATTGCCGAACAAATGCTCTGCATGGTTATAAGAAGAAAGTTTAATTTCGAAAATAATTGAAAAAACAAAAATTAAATAAAATAATTAATTACCAATGTCAGCGTAACGAGGACAATAAATTTACAAAGCATTTTTTTTCTTTTTCTATATTTCGGCTTAATTAAACTTAACTACTTAACTACTTTGTGCTTTTCGATCAACTGGAATATTTTTTTTAACTTATAATTATATACCTTTTCGTTAATTGTGTACATCTTATCTGTTATATATTTGCATTGCGTTTCTTATGCGTTAAGATCATTGTACGTCAGAGTTTCTAAAACTTTTTCGTCTCCTCTTTAAATGATAAACCTGCGATTCACTGAAACTGAACTAAACTAAATGAACTAAAATATCGTATATTTGCTGCATGGGAAAGGCGATGGGCACATAGGACGTGAAGACACATAAATATGCTTTGCCGAGGGCAGCTCATTGATCCAATTTGCTTTAATTTCGTGCCAGGATGCGCTCGGATCACAGTTTCGGAACCTACGCCATAGATATTTAGAATGGAATATTTGCTCTTAACTATTCCGATTAGATAAAGGGAAATACACATCCCGTTGACAAGCAAATTGCAGTAAACTGATGCAGGCAGGTCACATTTGGATGGATACATTATATTTGTCAGTCGATTTGTAACGCATATCTACGCCCTATTATCACATATGTTAAATGCAGGCTTGGATTCTAAAACGATTTGTTCATGTCATCTCATACCCACTCTAATAGAGGCACAGCCCTGCACAGTTTCGTAGGGCATATGACGCAGGGACATAGGGTAAACAGATTTGGAACTTTTTTTTCCTTTTAAATGACAAACTCTCCTCATACCTGTAGAAATAGTGTTGAGCAGAAAAGATTATTGGCGGAAAGAATGCGCAACACAGCCAGCTTGAAAATGGCCATAATCTGCTTGTCACGCCCATTATTCCCCCTATATACTTGTAGGTTTTATGTGGGCCACAAAAAATTAGTTACGCCCTCTATTTTTCCAAAATGTCTAGAGCTTAACTTAGAGCCGCTGAAGAAGAAATTGACAAACGAGCTACGTTCGTGTGATTGTTTTGTATTTTTCAAAGACGAAACTCTTTCATTTCAAATATTTTGTATTCAAAATTCATCTCCACTCGGATAGAATTTTCTCATTCAAATTACTCGTCATTGAAAGGAGAAATCAGTAATAAAATGTCGTAGTAGATAGTAGACAGTAACAATATTTACTCAGTCTCTTATTAACTTGTATGAATATTATAATACAAATACCTAAACGCATCCGCTGAGTAAGAAAAAAAACAAATAACAGAAAAATAATCGAATAATAATTTCTTTATTAATTGCTGCTTACCAGTGATTTACAAAAATGAACTACTCCGCATTAGACATTATATGTTCATTATATATAGTTACCTACTACCTAATATTCTGTTGCTGCTATAAATGTCAAGTTAATTACTTAAATGTAAAATAATACACAACACAACATTATTGTTAAATAAATGTCATTTTTACTGCAAACTCTCACAATTAGCTAAATAAACTCTGTTACTAATACAATAAGATTTTGCTATGGAAACAAATGTCATAATTTTGTGTCTATTAATTTCATTATATTGTATGTACATACGCGTATAAGCGTGTGTGCGTATACAGTGTCAAAAAGTTTTACAAAACTATTTTTAAATGTTATATGACACGTAATGCGAAAACGCGCGCACGCTCACGCCATCATTAGCCAAAACTATTTAGTTTTTAATAAAAGTTGACAAAAAAGTTAGTTTTACAAAAAAAAAAAAAAAAAAAAAAATTAATGATTTTATATTACTTCTATACTCATCACACATACATTTACAAGGAAACTTGTTGTTATTCGACATAACATACCTGTTGGTGTAATAATGTTCAGTGACAGATAGGATGGACACTCTCTGGATTTTCGCTCCAATAAACGTTAATTCTCAGCAGTGGCAGCAAATATTTTGCAAATTTTTATTTCTTTTATTAAATATTCTCCTTAATGGTCGATAATTCGTTTGGACATCCGATGAAATCAATTTTTACAGAATTTTGTTTTTTTTTTTATGTCAACCGTATCTGAAGAGAAATCTTTGTTCATGCGGGATGACTCAACATGATATATATTTAAAAATGAACGGCATCCAATATCAGTTTTCCCAAGTCGAATAACTATTTAGCATCAGCATAAGTATTGAGTGTGGCAGTGTCCTTTAAAAATACTTTATCTTTCGCTTTTCCTTTGTTTTGTGCTTAATTCTCTTCTTAACTTCCTTCCTGACAGCTCCTTATTTGAAAAAGCCTGCCTATGAATCAAGATTATTATAAATTTTGAATGAACTTTTTCGAACAATTAGCATAGGCTTATACACCGGCTCTTCGCCTATTCATGCAGTAAGTGACGTTGCATTTTTACACATTAGTAATTGTATGCTGGCCTTAGTTCAAGGTCAAAATGTGTCTCAATTCCAAAAGAGATTCTAGTGATAATCTTGTTTCACGCGAACATTTCGGAAGAGCCTTACAAAAGCTACAGTCCAGTGCGATACAAAACTTACAGCGAATATTGCAATTTTGCAAAGACATTGATTGATTTGCGAAAGCATTATACTCACCTTTGTCAAGATAATCGTCGCGAATAATCCTACATCCTACATACAAAAGTGTTTGCAAATTTGAGAAATATTTGTAACTCAAGGAAAGGAAAAAAAGGTGAAAGGAAAAGGTGCAAGCTGAGAAGAACAACTTCCAGTTATCAAGTCCAAGGTTCCGAATGTCTATCTAATATTTGCCAGACATAATATCATCTATTCAGAATATGACAACGATTTTTGTTTATTTGTAATTTTACATTATGCTAAGTCTTTTGTTATAAAATATTATCGCCCAGTCTGCAAGTCTCTTCAACTAAGACAAGATTAAAAAAAAAGTTTAAGTTCAATTTTTGTGACTACAAGAAAAAAAGTTGGATTACGCTACTTCGGTCCACAACAGTTGTCAAGAGTATATTCTTCACTTCTTGGCGTCACCAAAAGAAGGAAAGAAAGTATATCCCATCTTTCGCTAATAGGTGTAAACTAGTAACGTTCCCTTACAGATTACATAAATGTACGCTTTCATGGTTGATGGACTAACCAATTAATCTTTTGGTTTGTTTTTTTTTTTTTTCGAAAGCGACGAAAGGGATATCTGTATTTAAAAAAAATTGTTTTCTAAAATCATTAAAAGCCGTAGTGTTTATAAAACGAATGCATCTGTTCGCTCTCTCTTATTTAACTAACCCTATAGCATCTTTATTTAAAGCATCCGCTCATATGAATTTCAAGAGTTATTTGACTTTTCTTCTTTTTTTTTTCCCCCAAACACTTTATTTTAATAGTTGTTATGCGCAGTAGTTTTCATTATCATGTAGCGAGAGTGTTCTCCGAGTATTAGAGTTTAATTACTTTCATTCACATATCATTCGACTACAGCTGCTACTATTCTGCTGCTGCTGCTTCTGCTGGTGCTGCTTCCACTCATAAAAACAAAGATTAAACTAAAACTATATTTAATTTAACAACAGTGTGTTCTACTATTTTACACAAACATTAAATCTCTTTCAATAACTAAGGGAGAAGTTGCGTAGCAGATAATAAATGAAAATCTAAAATTATTCCACTGAGGTACAAATGTCATGGCAAATAGAAAACAAACAAAAACAACAAAAACAACAACAACAACAAAAACTCAAAATTTGAATTTGCAAAATATCTCTTATTGGAAGCCCTTACTACTTGCTTACATACACCATGAATACCCACTGATACTTACACTATGACTTACACTACGCACCCCGTTATAATTAGTTTCATTTGATACCCACAAGTGCTGTTTAAAAATAATTAATTTTTTTTTTTATTTAATTTTTATTTTCCGCTAATTAAATTTATGACATTTTGCCCAAAACATAATCACTTAGAGAATCCTTATCCATGTCCATGCATTTATCATATAATCCAAGTTTAAACCACATTCGCAGTTCCAGCGCTTGCGGCTAATTGGGCTCTAGCTGTGGCTTCAGTTTCAATCGCTTTCAATTGATTTTTAATTGTTTTCATTTGCATGCTAGCACAACGAATTTGCAACCAAGGCAATGGTGCAACAGTGCTGCAGCTATCGAAAGCCTCTCCGGAATTGCTCAAAATATCCAAAACGCGTTGTCTTAGATCTTCAGGCAAATCGGGTTTAGACAACAGCTTTTCAGCCTCAGTCTGCAAGACTACAACTTGAAAGAAATATCCGGCCGATAAGCCACCAAAGGGACTGGCCATACCCATTCCCATACCCATTCCCATGCCCATACCCATGCCTGGGTTACCAACACCAGGTCCGTACTGAGCCTGATTTATAATAAAATTTTTACTAATGAAAACATACTTTTCAAAACTTTTGGTCGGGGGGCTTACCTGACAACCGGCAAGTGCGCACACAAATAATAAAGCCAAAGCGAATTTCATTATGATGCTTAGTAACGTTGTTGTTATTTTATTTATTACAGGGAGGATATTTCGTTCAGATTGTTCGTTATTTTCGTTGGAACTACTTATTTCAAGTGCACTGCTCGCTGTTTTTATATCAAACGACCAAGAATAACAGTAGTTTTTTTTTTAATTATCTTTGTAAAGTCTTGCAATTGTTATTGTGCTATGCATCGCTTTTCATCTAATCTTTAAGATATTGTTGCACTTTATGATCATATTTCCTGCTCTTTTTTTTTTTATTTTATTTTGATTTTTTTATATTTAGAGCGCGTGGTTCAGATTAAATTCATTTAACTTTAAAGAAAATGAAATTTGTTCAGTTCTATGCAAAATTTGCTAAGAAAAAAATTTGTATTTCTGCAATCATTTGTGCTATGCACCAGTAACGTGAACCCTGCAGAACTTTAATATAATTGCTTATCAGATGTATGCGCACTTGTTTATTATTATAATCTTGTTGTTTTGTTATACAGTCTTGTTGCTATAAAAATTTTATTAGTATTTGTCTAAATAGCTTACGCAGTTTTCGATTAATTACAACGTCAATGATGTCATAGCATTTTCAAGTATTTAAAATTTAGAATTTTTTTATATAAAAACAACACTTTTAATGCCTTAATTAAAGTTTTGAGTTTTTTTTTTTTTTTTTAATTAAAATTCTAATCAATCTTTACGATGAAATTGTTTCAAGCTCTTTTAATACATAATATAAAGCGATTTATAACAACCCCAGCAAATAAATCGCATGCTATTTATATCTCTATCTCAAAGAGCTACAAAAAATACATACTACCACCAGGTTTCACAATATAAAATATATCAAGTGTGCATAGCAACGGAGTTTTTCATTTTAGAGAAAGGTAATGACTTTTTTCCCGTAAATTTGTTGAGTTAGTGGGTGGACGTGTTACTCAAAGTGTTTGCTTTTAGATTTTCTTTCTTTGCATATATATTTTCATGTACTCTGAGTGTCAAAAAAAAATTGTTAAAGACGACTTAACTCTAGATGTTACAATCATAGGGCTTTGAATAGTGTAGAGCATGCAAAAAAGAATCAATAAAATAACTCAAAAGGTGAACAGATTTTTTATCGGCCTTCATAGCATACCGATTGATGTTTTAAGCTCAAAACTCGTCCCAGTCACTGGTGATTTACAAATTCATAATCTGTCTCATATTCCCGAGAGGCTACCTATTTATGTTGATTTCATTTTGGTCGAAATTTCTGAGTGTAGTGTGAATATGTTAGTTTATGCTTTAAAAAAAAGCCTTTATAATGAGAAAGACAAACAAATCCAATACTATTCCAATTGGAAAATATCCGAATGTTTAAATAATGGAAAATACTTTAAACAACGCAATTGCCGACCAGGAGGATGCATTTACGAGCTCTTGTCTGTGAAAATTGAGGAAGAAATTGGCACTTCCAAAAGCTTTAACTACAAGAAACGAAAAAGGAAAACATGGAAGTGACAATTAACGCGCGAGACATGCATTTATTCTGTGGATAAAATCACTTTACTTAAAAATTTATATCCGTTTATTGCCTTCTAATACTTGATATTTATGATGGATATACAAAAGACTTGTCATCGCGAGCCTTGAAGGGTCAACTTAGACGAAACTTAGACGAAATATTATATGACTGCGACTTTTGTCGAAAAATTTAAAAAATTGCATTTTTTTTCCCCATATAAAGATTTTTCATACAGTGGTTCTTAAACTTGAACGATCCAAACCATTTTCAACGACGTTCGTCCTTGGGCCGAACGACGTTAGTAGATCAAATTTCATCAAACCATTTCAAAAATTGCCACTTATAGGTTAAACACAAATTTACTTGAAGAGACGCCATAAGGGCTAACGGAGAGACAGACTCAATATAATGCGGATCTTAAGACCTTCTCGATGTTACATGGCCCTACATAAACTGAATATACCCTGTACCACAAAGGAATATTTAATACTCTCACTCCCCGATAAAGAAAGCAAAGCAAGTGAGCATCGAAGAGAAATAAGATCTGAACGCCTTTCCCTGCTTTTGCCCTGCTTTACGTATGAAAAGTTTTCAAAGAAATTGAATTCAATTCTCAAAAAGCCAACCTTTTGGCATCTAAGTATTAAATAGAGGCAGATAACAAATTAAAATGTAATTTAAGCCAAATTTACACTCTCCAGATTCATTTGTCCCTCCTTATCGCAGACTTAATCTGCTTGTGCTTAGAAAGGCGGCAGTATTTTCGCAGTCATAAAAGTTAAAGTTTGTTAAAATATGCTTAGATAAGAAAATCATGTTAAAGAGATAAAATTTCTTATATCCAAATAATTATTATGTAATTTAAAAACAAACATAAGTTTTATGCTAATTTATGGAAACAAAAATGTTTATAAATATTTGAAATATTTTCGAAAAACTTCACTCTGTCTGCAAAGTAAAGCAAGAAATGACGATGAGTTTCTATTTAACAAGTCTTGTAACTTTTGGTAAAAATTTTGAAAGTGAAGATTATATTTTAGATATAAAAATCTATTAAAGCATTTTAAATTTTTGCAGCATTCTTTGCTGACTCCAGTCAGGGTCGCCTTCTGGAATCAAGATATATTTTACCTCTACTAACGAACAGAGTAGCGGTAAATAATATTGTCGAGACTGCACAGGCAGACCGCATCCTAAGCCTGACGGAAAAAACAAAGCTTGCAAATAATTCGATGAGTAATCTTCAAAAAATTAAAGCATTTCTCATTCAAAGCTTACAACGTTTACGCAAAAATTAACCAGATGGAATACTACCGGCCCTTCTTCTTACGAAGATAGAAAACATGTAAAATTAAATCGTCCACTAATGCCATGCCATCCATTATGTACAACAATATAAACACTTAAACAACACTTAAAGCAAGAACATTGTGTTCAAAATAATATTAATAAAGTTTAGAGAATGACATCGAATACAGAACAACTTAATGCACGATACACTAATTTTCAATCACTTTCCATAACTTGATTAGGTCAATGAATCCGTTTAATAAGAGTAAAGTTATTATCAATAACACTCAAAAGATTTTATCGCATATATTGATAATAAGCGATAATTCAAGCAGACTAAACGCGACTAAAGTGAATAAAGCAAAATTTTCAGATACGAATTCGAAAGAGATTAAAAACAAGTCAAGGCACACGCTTCGATAACCTAAAAGCGGAAGTTTTCATTCGTTTGTGAGAACAAGCAGTGACCACGGTCTGCAAATTAAATATCCTACCTACCGCCCTACAAATAGTCATGTAACAACCAACTTTTCAAAGGAAGGCATTGTATGGGAAGATTAGAACACGTCACTGTACCAATTATCATGAAAATATCTTAAAAGTTGCAGCTTGTGGATTGAACTCAGGAAAATAGGACGGACAGACGGACAGACAAACTTAAATCAATTAAGCAAGTGATTCGGAATCGATCGGTATAATAAAAGGTTGATCTATCTTAAGTCCTTGGTGGTGTTGCACACATCTGCACACACTCAATATACCCTTGTACTCTATATGGTAAACTTTTAAGCTTACAAAATACTTTCCCCTTTCGATCCTTCCCTAAATACGTGTTTACGTTTTCTTCGCATCATTTTTTTTAAATTCTATTTCGCTGAATCATTGCTTTTATAATAAAATATTCAATTGTAATTAATGGGATATTTATTACCTTGAGGATATTTTAATCAAATTAAGCAAAACTAAACATAAATTTTTATTTATTATTAATATTTATTCTTTTAATGCTTCCATATATTTTTTACATCGCTTGATCATTGTCCGTCCATAATTAACATGAATACAAATTATTATTGATGCTTAGTTTCTTAGAGATCATGGAAACGGTTTATCGGTCAAAATAAACAACAATCCTTTGTATGTTAATGTGTGTAGCATAACCTGTTGGGCCTACGAGTTACACTATAAAAATCACATTTTATGAATGAATCGCTTCAAGGTTAAAACGTGCGCTGCAACTTTCCAAGTGCTTCGAAACAACACGCAATACCTATATAGAAGTATTCTTCAATGTTTTATAAAAACTCATCATCACTAAACCATTGTCAAAAGGCAAATTTTAGATTAATTTATCACTTTTACAGAGCAAATCTTTTCCCAAAATTTATAGCCTTTTAATTTCGGTTGTAAAATATAGAAACTGTAACGCAGCTAACTCTAAGTTTGGTCTGGTTTGCGCTTCCTATTCCTTAGAGTACGCAATTAAGGTACATATTTTTCACTTTCAATTACACCTTCCTTATGTAATTGGTCAGGATTATGTTGTGTAGGGTATCCTGTTCGGACTACCATGAATTGACTGCAACCGATGTCGTCTGCTTTATCTTCTTTATCTTCAGCTGTTGTTTAGCTATTCATATGCTTTTCACTTTCCTCTACAGCCTTATCATCGCTATTAATATTTGATAAGCTTTAGTGCAAGGCGCAAAAACAAGCTTCAAAAACCCCCGGAAAGTGTATAAATTTATGACCAGTTTCAAATTTCGAAGGCATCTAAACATAACCGTGTGTTCGTCGATCGTTCTGCCTGCGGAACTTTGTAGTATCTGAGGTAAACTTTCGCTAATTAGCGAAAATAAACATATCGCTTACAAATTTGAAAAAGAATTTGGAAGGACACGTCTAAAACACTCACACACCTATGACGCAAAAACTTTTTTTTTGAAAATAGAAAAAATCAGCCGCATCCACTCTGAAAGTTAGTTCTTAGTCTTTTTTAGGATAAAAATGATGATTATAAAATTTTCTTACTTAATTTCTTTGTTGTTGTTTTTTTTTTATATCAGGTTAGTTAGATTATTTTATTTATTTTTCTGTTTTTTTTTTTTTCTTTTTTTGCTAAAACTATTCAATTTTTCGTTTTCATCATGGCAAGTTCCTTACCATGCACTATGCTGCAAGCATGTGGAGTGAAAGCCAGGCCATCTATTGATAAAAATGGAAATGCTTGACATTCAGGTTTTTTTGATTTTAGATGAAAATCCCCGTAAATTGTGGCAATCATGATTGCATTGCTTTAACGGCTATGAACATACGGCAATACAGTTGACAAGAAGAAGCATTCAGTAGCAAAAAATTATCGATTTGCGATACACGAAAAAGTGTAAAAGGTTTGGAAAAATTCTGTAAACGTTCAGAGAAAAAAAAGAAGTTCTACGTGAAAGAGTGTTCAAAGAAAATTTGTTATAATAGAATTAAAAGGAAAATTATTGAAAGAAGAAATCATTTGTATATATCACAGCACAATAATAATCAAGTAGTTAATTAAATATATATGAATATAATATCAATTGAGTTATAGCATAATAATAACACTAGTCATCAAAGCAAATTTTCTTTAATCGTTTTTCACAGAGAAAGTTGTTAACAAAGTCTGGCTTTTCGTTTTTTTTTATATACTTTCTGTTTCATCCTCTTGTTTGTAACACCGTAATAAAGATCAAAGAGTTGACGCTTTTGTGATTTAAAAAGAAGCGAACGTAAAGTTCAGAGCAAAATGGCATTTGCCGGATTAAAAAAGCAAATTAATAAAGCCAATCAATATGTGACGGAAAAGATGGGCGGAGCTGAGGGAACTAAGCTCGATATTGACTTTGTGGAAATGGAACGTAAGACAGATGTTACTGTTGAATTGGTCGAAGAATTGCAAATTAAAACCAAGGAATTCTTGCAACCGAATCCCACGGCCAGAGCGAAAATGGCAGCGGTCAAGGGCATATCAAAGTTATCGGGCCAAGCGAAAACGAATACCTATCCGCAGCCTGAAGGTCTCTTGGCCGACTGTATGCTTATGTATGGCAAGAAGCTGGGTGAAGAGAGCAGTGTTTTTGCGCAGGCGTTGGTTGAATTTGGTGAAGCGCTAAGACAAATGGCTGATGTAAAGTATTCTTTGGATGACAACATCAAGCAAAACTTTTTGGAGCCGCTACATCATTTACAAACAAAAGATCTAAAGGAGGTTATGCATCATCGTAAAAAGTTACAAGGCCGACGACTCGACTTCGATTGCAAACGTCGCCGGCAGGCAAAAGACGATGAAATACGTAGTGCTGAGGAAAAGTTTGCCGAGTCGCTGCACCTAGCCCAAATGGGCATGTTTAATTTGCTCGAAAATGATACCGAGCAAGTGGCGCAGCTAGTCACCTTTGCCGAGGCACTTTACGAATTTCACTCGCAGTGCGCAGATATATTACGAACCCTGCAGGAGACGTTGCAAGAGAAACAAGAGGAAGCCGCCGCGCGTCCCAAGCCAGAATTTGTGCCCAAAACCTTACTCGATTTGAATCTTGACAGTTTGGGCGAAGGTTCGGAGAGCTCGGGCACACCGGCCCATATGGCGATCGGTGCGTCTCCGTTACCGTCGCCCATGCGTTCGCCTGCCAAATCGATGGTTGCGACACCGTCACGCCAGCAGATGCAGCCCTATTGCCAGGCGTTATACGATTTCGAGCCGGAAAATCCCGGCGAATTGGGCTTTAAAGAGAATGAAATTATAACACTGCTGAATCGCGTTGACGAGAACTGGTTTGAGGGCTCGCTTCACGGTCGTACCGGCTATTTTCCACAGTCGTATGTCCAAGTGGTTGTACCACTACCCAACGGTAACTAAATGATTTAATTGCAAGCAATGATATGGTTCTAAGCATAACGGATTCTATACAAATTGTAAGTTGGTTCTCATTATGTATGTGCGTCTGGGATATTATAAAAACAATATTTTGACAAACAATAATTAATTTATTATTATTATTATTATTATTATGTTTAAATTAAAGGAAACAAAAAATGAATATATTAAATTTACACAAATTAAATGTTAATTAATATATATTAAATAATAATAAATATTAACTTCAACTTTAAATGAGAGACAAAAAACTATAAACTATATTTAGTATATTTATGAGAATACAACAAAATTAAAAATACTGCTTCTATTTTAAAGCAACAACAACAAAAATTACTAAAAAAATATTAAAATTAAAATTAAAAAAAAAAACAAATTTTTTTTGTCCAAAAATGCTACATATATAGTTTTCTCTTCCATCAAATTTTAAGTGAAAAAAGTGTTAGAAAAACAAAAAGAATATCTGAAGAGGAAGTTGTTAATTATGAACTTTTTCATGCCCTCTCACTTTTCCCCGTTATATTAACACAATGTTGTGCTCCAAAAATACTCCTACTATATAACCGCTAATATACCTAATATTTAGTGTGTGTAATAATTGTGTCATATAACTGTGAAAAAGGAAAACGTAATAACGATAATGTCCGATTGCATCACTTATGTAAGGGTAAATAAAAAAAAAAAAAACTTATCTCCATTAATGCAAAATTTTAATGGAGAGCAAGTAAGAAAGAAAGATTAAATTATAAACTCAATCGTACATATATATATAAAAAAAAGGCTGGCATTAATTAGATGTTACATATATAGAATATTATGTTTTACATAATTTTAAATGTGTATTTATTATTATTAATATAAAAAGTTTATAATTAAATGTTTTTCACTCCACTCCCGTTTATAAAACCCTTTAACATTAAACGGCTAATTATTGTTATTATTATTATTATTATTATTATTACATATATGATACATGAAACATGTAATTGATTGAACATATATATTCAAAATCCTTAAGATATATAGTGTACATTAAGTCTCAATTTTTCTTTTGATAAACAATTAATTTTGTTTTTTTAATGTTTGTTGTTATTTAATTTTATACATATAAACATTATTATTTATGCATTATACATACATACATAATTGTACAATTATTCAAGATTTATATATATTAAATTGAGTTAATTGCTTTAAGTTCCTTGCTTTATTTAATTTATACACACTTTTATTTTTATACATATAAAATTATATTACGTTATGGATTTTGTGTTTCCAAAATGAAAAAAAAAAAAAAACTTTTTTGTTATATATATATATATATATATATATATAAAAAAAAAAAAAATTATAAATATTTTTTTTTTTAAATAATTTTTTTTTGTTTTTTTTTTTTTTTTTTTTTTTTTTAAATTTTCATTCGATTATTACGAGCCGAGCTAGCTTATTTTCTTTATATCATAGATGCAATCCACATTAGCATATATCCATACTTATGTCATTTTTCCAAAGTTTTGATTTTATACTTTTCTCTTTATTATTTTCTTTTTTTTTATTTATTATATGTAGTTTTTAATATGGAAAGTAAAAAATTTTACCGAAAATCTTTTGGCTAAATTTCAAAATCGATATATATACATATATGCATATAGTTTTATAAGAGTAACGAGTTTCATTCATATTTTTGAAAGTGGAGCGGTTAGCCTACAAGATGGAAAGATAAATTCTTGCTAATCTCAATCGAAACTCAGCATAGCATTTAGTTAAATATATTACCGATCGATATAGTACTTACTTTGTACTTTTGCTTGCTTAAGCTTGGATTGGCTTTATAAATAATGGGCTTCTCTTTCACTATGACAACACTTATCTCTCATTTATTCAGTATATCAATCATCTGATTAGTATTTCGATTTTGACTCTAATCGATTCTAGCGGGACATAAAAAATATGCCGACAATTTTATTTTATGCGGAGCAGATATTTGTTATTCAGAAGACCTAACTGCTTCCGAAATATTCCAAATTCATTTAGCCAAAGAATATATTCTAAGACTAAAGTCTTAAAGCATTAACATCTAAAGCTATCGGATTTATTGAAAACTCTATCGCATTTAAGGTGTGAGTCCATGTCCATTATGTTGTTAGCCGAGACTCTTTGCCTGCTCGGCCCCTCAGTCCCATCTAGGCACTTTAAAACAAAAGTACTGCTTGAAGGTCCAAGATTTATACGAAAAATTTATGTATTTTTTTTATTCATTGATTTGAATTAAATAAGAAAATTATGCGAACTAAGGGAAGCATTTCGCTTTTCTCCTTATCTGCCATTTTTTTTATTTTAGTTCACTTTTTTCAAAGACATTTCTTATAAAGCAACGGATTGACTAAATATCTCGATGCATTTCCATTGAAGGACGAACAAAAGTATTTGCGAAGTGAGAAAGACAGTCAAGTTCGTTAATATTTATCGTGATAATAATAATTATCGTGAACTTTCTTAAGCTTGCTCGCTCACATGTAACGCAAAACTCGCATTGCAACAACAAACTTTACTGCAATTTGTACTTTGTGTGATTATAGTTCAAGTCAAGATTTGATTTGTATTGCATTTCGGAGGCGTGAATTTTCAATGATAATTAAATTGTTTAATTTTTTCGTTCTAGCAAATACATTCATTTATGTCCCATAAAAAAACGATCATCGTGAGAACTGAGAAGATATTGTTTATAAAATAATGAAGTCAGATGTACAAACGTACATCAACAATTTGTATATCTTACACAATATGGTAGTACAAGGGTATATTAAGCTGGTGGATGAACGTACAAAACACTCAAAAGGACTTGAGATCAATCAATTCACTTTTTATTATACCGATCGATACGGAATCACTTTCTGAGTTTGTCCGCATATTCTCGCGTTCGTTCAACCAGCAGGTCACAAATTCTTGAGATATTTCTATAAAATTTCATACTCCGACGTTACTTGTTCCATTCGCGAACGTTCGATTCGGATCACATTTTTGACCATCGATTGTAAGAAGTCATTACATCAATAACTGTACTAAGCTTTTATTTATTTTAATTTATAGAAAATACTGAACCTACTGTACGTAGATATAATTATTACGACTGATGAAGGAAACTCTTATATAAGAAATCCTTTATATGATACGACTTTTTAAGGTTTACTTGAACCAACTCTATAATCCTTGTTATGAGTCTTCATATAAAAGCCGTATAATGAAGTGAGACACCACTCGTCGAAAGCGTAATAGAAAGTGTCAATTATCCTCTATCTGCTAATTCCTTGCATCCTAGCAATATTCAATGCCATAATATACTTACATTCATGCAAATGTTGAATTTTCTTGCTATAAAACTTTAGATAACACATTAAATAAGTGAAAGCAAAACTTTATTAAAATTCTGAATAGAAAAGTAATGTCATTAAAATTTGTAAATGTTAAATCAATTCAAGGACAAAGAAATCCTAAATAATCAAATCGCTAACTTATAGATTACTAAAGCGTAATTTTTTCCTGGGAAGAGAAAAATAAATTTAAAATCATTTCGTGTTGAAGCATTTCCTGCAAAAAAAGTATAAAAAGTGAGAAAAAATGTACTTTAGTTTGATCCGTCCTTAACGGAGACGTTTAGTCTACATATGTACGTCTGTAGATCTTTGTATACATTAGTTTTGTAAAAGTCGAACGTGGTCCGAATCAAAATGTTCTCATCATTCATTGTTCATGTAATGTTTTTATTGCCCATAACGCCCAAGTTAATCCTTAAAGTGTACTTAAAGTAAGTTTCCGATCATAGCTAGCTATCCATTTACGAGACATTATCTGGGCTCCAAATTTCGGGCCTTTGAAACTATTATTAATAAGGAGAAGGAAGAGAAAAGTTTCAATTTTTTTTTTTTGCATTATATGCAGATATAGCTGTAAGACCGGGGAAAAGTTGAATCCATCTCGCATCATAAGAAAGCTTTCCGTTGCCTATAAAACGTAAGAATTTCTAAGAAACTGATTCATCGTGCGGCTGTTGTGCGGTAATGTGAAAGCTCAGTTAGATAACACATTGTATTTATTTTAATTTAGATCACAGAAGAATGGAAAATAAGAAGAAAAAAAAAATTGTTTTTTTTTTTTTTTAATCTTAAGTATATTTACGTTTTTGTGAATTTTAATCGTTTAACTTGATGTTCGTAAGTTAATAGGTTTAAGTACTTAACGTTTGTTGCGAAAATCCCCAACGCTATAAAAATTTAGAATTAGTTAAAATATGCTCAAACACGAAATGTGTGTTAAAAAGATAACATATTTTTGTTTTCTTTTTTTTTTTTTTATTATTATTTATTATTTATTACATTCAAACATTTGTTATGAAATTAAAAAAAAAAAACTCTTATTAGAATTGCGAAATTTAATGTTAAAAAAAATTTGTATAAATACTTGAAAGATTTTGAAATGTTCATTAAACCTGTTAAGTGAAATCAGAAGTCAAGATGATTTACTTTTCGCTAATTTTTCTAATTTTCGGTATTTAAGTGAAAATTTATATTATTGAAAAAATACAAAACATTTTTTCTAACACATTAAAATTTTCAGCCTTACTTACTACCTGTAGTCAAGGTCAAATTTGGGGAAATCCGGACACAATTCCGCCTCTTCGATCGTATAGATTTGCTTTGCCCTGCCCAGGATGCCCGAGGCTTGCGAAAAGGTCAGCAGGCGTGTACGACCACTCATATGATAGGCCGCCTATAAATGTCTAAAAAAGGATCGAACGTATTATATATATTATATACGGGGAGGAGAGAAAAAGGAATATCGTTGATCGTATAATTTACATCTGTATAGATCGACAGAACTGAGCAACAAAATCCTATTAATATAATATGAATAAAATTTCGAATATATAAACTAAATGCTTAAGTCCAGAAAATTTTTAATTATACGCAAAACGTATATACATATGTATGTATAAAAATTTTTCTCACTCGAAGTATTTGTTTGAATAAATTATTCAGAAATTTTTTTAAGATTATTAAGCGGTTTTTTTAAAATTTACTCTACTTATGAATCTGTTGTCATATTCGATTTACTGTTAACCATTACATACACCACCTAAAGCGGTTTCTC